TTCGGGAATGTTCGGGGAGCCATGTCACCCCATAGCTCTTTGTTGTCTTCACCACCTTTCTGAAACCTATAGTCCGTTAGAAACCTATCGGAATAACGTATCCAATTCATTATCCCATTAGAGTTTCTGACTACGTTTCAGGGGACTAAGTGTAATTATCGATACCATAGGGACCTTACAGTTATTTAAGCTTACCTCAGGGGGTGTGTGTAATTTACCCTAAAATTTAAATATTTTCTTTTCCTACAAAATCCCACTGTCGGATTATTTGGAAATTTTTTAATTCCATTTTCTTAAATTACGAAAATTTTGAATACTAGTTAATGGGTATTTGATTGGGTCAATTAGGCAGCTTGAGTCGAATTGACGGGAGGCCCAATAAATAATGAGAATATATAAATGGGCAAAGACGGTCGATTAGGGAAAGCCCAATGACACGAGGTGACGAGCTGACTAAGAAGACGATGGAAAGACTGATTTTAAGATATTCTTCGAGATTACGACATTTCACAAATTAGGGGCGATCTATATAATATATAAAGACAAGGTACACAATTGATGTTTTCACATCTCCAATTTTGACCCCACATGTATTTCTTTATTTTCAATTCAGTTTAGTTACCTTATATAATTATATTCCACAAGTTTGATAATTTGAATATAAATACATATCACACGTTTTTTAAGGAAAGCCATTGATCGGATCAAGATTTTAGGAGAGATTTCAATTGAGTTTAATTGCCTTTTATAATATGATTTCCACATTTAATCCACTAATGTAAATACACTAATATTGTGTGTACACAATTATTGCAATTTTCCTATTCCACATGTTTTTAATTGATATATTAAATCCGTTTCAATTTTCCATTCACATTTTTAAATTTTCTAAATTGCATGATTTTTGCTTAATTTATGGTAACACTAAACAATTCGGTTTCAAAGATTAATTCATTAATTTCAAAATCAAATCTTTTAAATGACATGTTGATATTATTACTTCATTAATAACTTTTTTCCTTGCTCCTAATATATTGATATACGTTTTTTTTATAAATACATATTGGATTTATTATCTAATCATTAAACATTGTTTGAAATTTTGTTGGATTTATATCTACGTACAAATAAATATTTGATATAATCTACGATATAGCAATCACCATATTACAAACTTGATTAAGCTTGACTATATTTTAAGTAGTCCGTGTATTTTTTATTTTCACTGTATTTTTTTATTATTTGTTTTGGATATTAGTTCATTATTATATTGACAATAATTACCAAGATACTAACTATACATTAATGACAATAATAATGAACATCGGATTTTATTAATCTGTATATGGTAATGAAATCATATCATATAACAAAGAATTAAGGCAATTGTTTGATTACAATCAAGTTATTTCAGGAAATTACAGATTTTATTCAATTAAGCAATGAAATCCAATTAATTTGGAAGTGAATGATTTGAATCACTATAAATATCATGTGTAATTAATTATAACAAACCCACAAAATCTTGACTATCCACGTATCTATATAATCTCAAATACCCACCCATGAGATCTCATTCATTATTTGCATCAACATTTGCTGAAATTCATCTGCACTGAGAAGGTTTGTATTAAATACTTTGTTGAACCTTCTTTCTTGCCTTTTTTGTTATTGTATATAATGGCATATATGAGTTCTTGATATTTTCCTTACTCTTTGTTCATGTGGTTTTCGTCGGATCAGCTCCGTATGTGAGAATTATATTATTGACTGCTCATAAATTTACGGTACAACTAAGTTATTTCCATTTTGCTCCACTTAATTACTTTTCTATATTTATTTATGTATATACAGTATTCGATATTCACTTTATATAATGCAAATTGTGCTTTAATTTGTACTTCTCAACAGTACCTCTTTGTCAACACATTCTCTTATGGTTTCAACCAACAAAACTCCGACATCACCGAACACATCGCACCTGTTTGATGTTCGTATAGGTAATTGAAAAGGTCCAAATAACTTTTCAAACCATTTTCATTTTTGTCAATTTCTTGCCGTGTTACATGATACTGTATTTCAATATAGTTTTTTATTCTTTTTTGTATGTATTTAGAATGTTCATTGCAACCCGTTGAAAAGAATGTTCCAAAGCCTAAGAGAAAGATCTACATTGCTGGTAACTTTTAACAATAAGAAGAGATAAATAGTTTTATACAATCAAATCTTTTATAAATAAGTATGTAATAATATTTATTAATTGCATTCATGTAGCGCTAATGCTTAGAGATCATCAATAATAAAAAGACCAATTGCTTTTGATAATAATATGTTATCACAAAATACATCACAAAGTAAGAATTGTACTATTTATTATATATCCAATAATTTTATTGTATAACTATTCATATAATTTCAACTTTTATCGGTGCACAGTTCTCAACAATTCATATGTGTTGACTGCTCATCAATATTCCATGAAGGAGAATCAGCACCCAGGAGAACGGAATACAGACAAAGTGACCAATGGTGTGTATACTATACGAATACTTACCAATATAGTTTGGTATATTGACTTATTGTTATTGTGCATTGTCAAATAATGTTTTATATATTATTATCCCACTTTAGACCAGATTGCTAACATGAAGGGAAAAAAAATCATGAACGAGTCCATAAAATCTCAAGAAGCTTCAATTTATGGAATGAGTGGTGTTCGTATACCATCAAGTCGCGTTCTTACAGACATAACGGATGGTTAGTTATTGAATTCGTATGAGAAATAAATCATGCCATGTATATTTACATGATGTTTTAAACCATAAATTAATTGTTAAAACGTAGGAATAGAATAATAATTTTATTTCACATCATCTTTGAAATCGAAATCGATCTTCTGATAAACAACATGGACACGTTTAAATTATATTGAACTAAACATGTGGCATGTTTATTTGTATAGATAATCAGGAAAAGGGACAACACACTCCTACTGAAAAAATAAAATTGTTACACGATGCTTTTAATACACGACGTGTTGTTCGGACACCATCGAGTTGGATTCTAAGTGATGTATCAATTGGTGAGTCAATTAGTTATACTTAATATTTTAAACCAGTTTGCTTTTAATATATTTCATGTGGTGACAATTATGTTCTTATATATTTATTTTAATTCCCTACTATTTATTATATTCGTCATCCAAAAGGGAAAAAACAAGTAATTGGGAAAGGAAAGGGAATTATTGCAAAACACGGAAAATCGCTGGAAAACGCATTTTATGGGGGAGTTCAAACTCCATCAAGTTATTGTGCTACATGGGACATAAGTAATGGTAAGATTGAATTCAATAACCTTTTAATTGTGGCATGCACACACACTACATAATTCGTTCTTATTAACTTAAATATTAAATTTTTATACCATAATAAGACTATAATCATGATTCCATACATCATTATTTTTTTGTTCTTTTATATTAAAAACATTATACAACAATATCAAGAAAAGTCAAACATATATAAAATAGTTATTTATAAAAGTAAATTTAATATTTTAATATATTGTGTCATCATATTAACAAAACAGGTAATTCAGGTCATCAAAAGTCTGTAGAACACCGACAAAATAATGACGTGCATGGATTAAATGTTGGAAACACAAAATTGACTGATGAGGCATTTAGTGGACTAGGTGTTGTTCGAACCCCATCGAGTAGACGGATAAAAATCCAATTTCCTATGTATAGACAGAATGATGCGAGTTTTTCATCAGCCGACAAGTTAAATGGTATAAATTTAGCTACACAAAATATCCATATGGCTGTCAGTGGGAGTACGTTACACTACGAAGGTGAAGTTGTTAATTAATATTTTTAACTGCAATAACATCTACAATTACAGACCATAGTTATTAAATGGTTTTTCTTTTTTTAAATCCTGAAACAGACACAATTCGACACTCTTACAATCCTGAATCTGGCACTTATGAGATTCCTGTTAACTATCTAGATTCATTTTACGAATCCACAAAAAGGTATGTTTGTATTTTTTATGCACATTCGTATTAATTTATATAGTGAATATTATAAATTTTCTAATTATATGTTCTCCATATATTTATTAAATTATCATTTCTAATGTTAAGGATTGGAAAGAGAGTTGCAAGGAGTCAAAAAACGATACAGTCGGTTGCACGTGGATTAAGTATGGACAGTACACCAACTATATTGGTGGACGAGGATTCTCAAACAGTAAGAGATGTTACATCGGACATTGGAGGTAACTGATAAGTGTTCGTTTTGCACGATTTTTGCTTATCAAATCTTCGAGTTTTGGTCTTCGTTCGTCCGAGTTTCGGCTTTATTTGTGTATATTATTGCGTTTCTTGTTTTATTTCCTTTTTTAGGTTTTGTTAGCTTTTGTTGCCAAGTCGAAGCCATTTGGAAGCGAAACCGATTTTTCAAGCCGAGAAAGTGGTCATTAAGACCCAGATCGCGATCCAGGAAAGCCGGATCGCGATCTGGGGGCAAATTCCAGTAGTGTGCAAAGTTCAGACCCAGATCGCGATCCAGGAAAGTCGGATCGCGATCTGGTGACAAATTCCAGTGGCAGACTAGATTCAGACCCAGATCGCGATCCGCACTTCCTGGATCGCGATCTGGGAGGCGGTTCGCGTTTTTTTAAAGAAGCCAGATCGCGATCTGGCTTTATTGGATCGCGATCTGGCGCGTTTTTCAAGGCTAGATATTTTAAATTGCAAAGCTTCTTGAGGAAGCTTTGCAATTTACTATAAATAGAAGCAAGCCCTCACTCTTCATTCTTCTTCGACTTTTTACGGTTTTCGACGGTTCTTCGCGGGAATCATCAGCGGGGGTTCCGAC